ACGTTATTACAAACAGTCTGTCCATCCCAGTGTCCTCTCCTGACTGTGTGACGTTATTACAGTCTGTCCAGCCCAGTGTGTCTGTGTTCCGTGTTCTACTTAGGAGGACCTGGGAGGGATTAAATCTGAGTTGCTTTGGACCTTGGCTATTTAGAAAAATTTTGCAGTTTGTCAGGGACAAGGACAGAATCTCTAGTTAGTGGGAAAATACAGACCCCCAATAAGACGGGGAACTAGATCATCTTACAGTCAGGTTGCCTAGCAACAGGACATTGAGTCAGAGCTCTTGACCCTCTCACCCTGTAAACATCTTATACAAACATCCTGTTAGCTTGCCCCTCCTTATGCAGATGACAGCTTCTTGCTCCCCCCACCCTGCGGAACTCTATAAACCTTTGTGGAAGAGAAATAAAGTGGCACCTTGATCAGAATCCAGACTTGGTGTCTTTTCCTTTGTATCTCCTGTCCCTACATTCCCTCCTTAGGGTGGTCGAGAACCCGTTGAAGCCCTGCAGGCGGGGCAGCAGTTGAAGTCCATGAACATTTACGTAGCATAGGTTGCCATCAGAGGCACCGACATTGGATTTGTTGAAGATAAAAATTACTACATTACTCTCTAAAAGATTTGAAGAAAAGGACAGTTCTGCAGACAGCTTTACTTTCAGCCACATTTTAAATGATAAGTTTTACATTAGCTATCCTTTTCTGTCCTTAGTATTGATTTATACTTTCATATGATTGGCCGTTTCATTGTTTTGCATTATTAATATATGGAAACCCGTTGGTTGTTAGGAATTGGGCCAGGGGTTTAGTCTGCCTTGAGGATTTTGGTCCTGATCTGTGTAAGCAAAATGCCATTATAGCTCCCATGTCTTCCATTATCTCACTGCACTTACTGCAACTTTGGTGGGAGATGGGTAAAACCGACACACTCAGGCATCTTCTCATTGTTTTTGAAATTTCAACAAATGTTTAACAATTGTTTGTTCAAAGATGTTCACAATTAATACAGCACCAAAAAAAAAAGAAGAAAAGTTTTTATTGATAAAGGATTCATTCAACTAAGGATTATCATGTGGCTCCTAAGAAAGTTTATTCATGTTGTTGTTGGTATCCAAGGCAATGTGTCCAGCACACGCTACTGTACTTCAGACAGGCTTTAGAGTGCCATGGTTGGCATTGTCCTTTCAGGGAAAAGGATGAGTAATGGAGCGTGGATGTATGTCTTTCTGAAAGATGGTTCTGAAATGCAGTGATTGTCTCTTGGTCACAAGATTTTAAAGGGATATTTACTTTATATTTTCCTTTGATGTGTGAATTAGAATTTTATATATACTATATCTAGAAGATTTAGGAAGGTACAAAGTTTCTTATACTGTGTTGAAATTAAAGCAAGTCCACTTCTAGGGACTTGTCCTAAAAATTATGTAAATGTGAAAAATTAAATATTTATGATGGTAATGTTTTTTTGAAATGAAAACCAATCTTAATATTTTATCTCTTAATATTCAGTTTTATCTGTGTTTTTTCTGTTGATTAGGTTGTATCTAAGTTTCCACAAGGGTTGTTTATTTCTAAACTGCTTGGAGAGTTTGAGGTAAGAGTTTTCTTCTCACCAGCCTGCTCTTTGTGTTGCTTCATTTTCTTCTGATAGACAGATTCTGCAGGTACTGCTGGATCCTCTGAGTCTGTGCCTTTAACACTTAAACCACCTGTTTTGTGTTTTAGTGGCTTTTAAAAAATGGTGATAGTTAAGGATATGGCCAGTAACAAATATTTGGTTATGGATAGGAAGAATACTTACTGTTATAACATCATTGAAACAATGATTAACATATTTTTGAAGTGTGACAGTACCAAGAAGAGATGGATAAAAACAGAACACCCCATATACAGTCCTGATTTTATATCCAGTAATAATATCAAGAATGAAGGCACTATAAAGATGTCTCAGATAATAAAATAATAGAGAAGTGTAAATAGACCTGTATTGTAAAAAAAGACAAATAATATACTTTAGGGTAAATGAAATGATGCCAGATTAGAACTTGAATCTTCAGGGGTTTGAAGAACAAAGGGTTAAAGTGAACATGTAAGTGGGTCTAAAAGACTGCTCTCGTGTACCGATTAAACCAGTACTGTTTAAAGCAAAATGATGACCTCTAGCTGGGTTTAAAACATGAGATGATGTAACACATAGGAAAACCTTAGCATAAATCAGTGGACTGAGGTTCTGGAAAAGAAGGGGTGTGGGAGTAGAACTCTACCAATTTATTTATTGCTCCTTGTTGGGAGCCAGGAAAGCAGAAAGCATACCTAAGAAGTAGAATAAAATACATCTGACATAGCAGTGAATTGACTCAGCTATTTGTAAAGTACACCTAAGCTGTGTTTCATATAATAACAGCATGGAATTACCTTTATAGTAACTGAAAAAGCAAGGTACATTAACTTATATAATCTTATATCAAAGCACTTAAGTTTTGACAATTCTGGAAAGTTATACAGAAAATGGCAATAATAGTTATTTCTAGGAAAATGATTGCTAGGTGACTGCGGGGCGGCTACCCACCAACCCCACAGTTCCCCAGAGTTTTCTTGAGTGAGAGCAGCAGGAAATATTAGATAGAAGGATTTAGATTGTGGAGATAAACAGAAAATAAAGGATAGCCTCGAGAGGGCCTGGAACCTATTCCAATGGGCCCTGACTGTCTCTGGTCCAGGGTATTTATAGAGATGCCAAGGGGTAGCGCAAAAGACCTCCCCCCAGCACAGCCAAGTGCAGACCATCTCAGACACCTGCACTCAGGCCCGTGGTCCTAATCATCCTCTATGTGGACCTGCTGGGTAAAGACACGAGGAACCTGAAAATGGGCTCCCACAGGTGACTGAAACATTTGGGGATGAGCAGAGACTTGTTTTTTATGAGTGAATTTTTTATTTGTGAGAATTTTCATCATACATTTCTTCTTTAAAATTGTTTATTCTTTGACCACTCCCTATATATAACTTTGATCAGCCACATCATCAGTTTTATCCCCTTCTCCTTCCTGAGACTTGTTTTTGCAGAATATTTGCTTGGACCTTTTGAATATACTATGAAAAATTACTAATTTGGGGGTTGGAGAGATAGCTCAGAGGACCTGAGTTCCTTCCCAGCCCCCATGTCAGGTGGCTCCTAACGGCCTATAACTGCAGCTCCAGAAGATCCAACACCTCTGGCTTCTCAGGGCACTGGCACTTGTACCCACATGCAGATATAATTTTTAAAAATTAAATCTAAAAAAAAGTAGTTACTTATTTATATTTTTAATACTCCCCACCCTAGCTTTATATTCAGTTATGATTTCACAGTAAAACACAATTATTTGAGAAACTGATAAACATAACAGGAAAAGAAGTTTTAATATGTAACGTGAAGAAATAGAAATACTAATTCTAATTTGCCACCATCCCTGCCCCGCCCATTTTTCCTTTGGTTTGCTGATGGCCATAAAAGTGACCTTCTAAATGATCTGATTGATTTGGCACCTCTAATTCCCCAAGTGTTCTATGGGAGAAGTCATAAAGAATTGAGTGTCACATCAGAGCATCATGAGACAAGGTCTGTTCCACAGCTGTGCTACCCTGGGAGGGGCCAGTCTCTAGAGTGTTGGCACCTGAAGGCATGTAGCTAGAAGCAAGCCTTCACTTCCTTAAGGCCTAGGCAGGAGAGAGTAACTGTAATTAGCTCAGTTGCTTTATGTCGGTTCAAGAGATGGAAACTTGGTATTAAGAACAGCACAGATGTATGTGCATATGTGTGTGCATGTTTGTATATGTTCTCACCTGTATGCCTATGTAGGTGGCACCTAGAGGTCAACCTTGAGTGTCATTCCTCAGGAGCTGTCTCTCCACCTTGTGTCTTGAGAACGGATCTCTCTCTGGGACCTGGGGTTCAGTGGTTAGGTTAGATTGGCCGCCTGTGAAACAGGCTTGTATCCATGAGTTCACTGAACCTAAAGTGTCTAGGTTGACAAAATTCCAACTGAAGCCTTGCCTAACATATATCCAGAGTCTTTATGCTTTTCTGTTTTTTTTTTTTTTATGACAGCTAATTTTTAAAGAGCAACTTTCACCAAAACAGTTAGGGTTCTTAAATGTGACGGAACTTGTTGGAGCTCTCAGTGACATTCTCCGGGTTGAGTTCAGTGAAGAGAAGCAGGACTTGCTAGTGTTTGATGCTGATCTGAAGCCAGTACCACCTGGTGAGTTACGTTTGATGCTACAAACCTCCTTCCTAATTGTGCCTTTGAGGACAGGAAGAAGAAAGCATTAACCGTCATCCTTGGAATCACATGACCCAAATGCCTCATGTTAGCCAGGAAATGTTTGAATAGTGACCTCCTCCTTAGTGATGTTGTAGTAAAGTTAACCTGTATTATTACCTTTAAAAAATGGTATTTTCACAATTTAACTCATTTATTTTTTGAGTGTTTGAAACGGGTTTTTTCTATGTAGCCCAGGCTGGCCTGGAACTCACCGTGTAACCCCAGCTGGTCTTAAACACATGAAAATCCTCTTGCCTCAGCCTCCTGGTGCTGAGATTACAGGCATGGGCCACCTCGTCCAGCAATTTCTTTTCTTTTTTAAAAATTATTTTTATTTTATGTGCATGGGTGTTTTGTCTGCATGTGTGTCTGTGTGCAGCATGTATGAGCAGTGCCTGGAGAGGCCAGAAGAGGATCAGAACCCCAGGACTGGAAGTATATACAGTGATGAGCTGCCTTGTAGGTGCTGGGAATCGAACCACGGTCCTCCTGAAGATCAGTCAGTGCCCTCAACCACTGAGCATCTCTTCCACCTATTATTTTCTTTATTGTCCAGTTATTAGTAATTCTGAGGGAATAAGTCTGAAATGGTTGGTTGGTAAGTAATGCTTATCAATCAGGCTGTGCAGCAGAAGCTTCTTAGACATGGACAGTCAGTATGTATGAGAAACACTGCATTTGTGTCTTTACAGTAAACTCCAGTTTTTCTAAACATGTCCTATTTTTCTATTTCTGTATTTACTTTAGGAAACCCCATTGGATCTAGGGCATTGTGTTTTGTTTTTCTGTTTTTAGCTCTGTTTGTTTTTCTTGTAGAATTTTTATTGAGATAGCTTTCTATGATCGTGTAGATAGAGCCTGTGTGTCCTTACACAGTTCCCTCAGTGGTGACATACTGCCATGGTGTCAACAATAGGGTACTTTTGTAAGATGTGCGTGGGGAGGTGCACTTGTGTGGGGGTGCACTTGGAAGCTGGAGTACACACCAGGTGTGTCCCTCAGATACTGCCCACCTCTTTATTGATTGATTGATTGATTGATTGATTTTTGAAGTTACTAGTTGGCCAGGAAGACCCAGGAATCCCCCTGGCCCTGCTTCTCCAGCACTGGGATTACAAGCATGCACACCCCATGCCTGGCTTTTTTTTTTTTTTTTTAATGTGGATTCTCGGGGGTGGGAGGTTGTCAACTGAGATCCTTGTGTCTGCAAGACAAGATTTTACCAACAGCTTTTCCCCTTCCCAGTCTATTTTATAAGTTTTTGAAAGAGGTTATGATGGACAACTGCCTTTCCATATTCTGTCATTGATTTATTGCCAAGATAAGAGCACCCAGCTTGCACCTTAAGGACATCTTGTTCAGGTTATTGTTATGGTTCATGGGTGTCACAGCTGGATAGGAGTACCCATGATTGTTTGCCTCCCTTGGCAGCTTAAACCCCAGTGCTGGGTCAGGGTAGCCAGAGGAACGACCGGAAACAGTACAGGCTGTTGCCTTTGGTTGCTTCCCAGAGCCGGAAGACAAGTCCCTGTTGCTGAAGATAACACGTACTCTGAAGACAGGACTTGGAAGATTTGAGCCAGAGCTGATCTGAAGTCATAGACTTTTTTTTAACCACAAAAGCTCTTTAAACCAAATAACACAGAGATAGTTAATGCTTATAGCTTCAGTGAGTGTATTTCTATACTATATACTTAATTATGACAGTTTCCTTATACAATGCAGTATTATATAAATACTGTGTCTTTGCCTTTTATGTGTAATATATTGTTTTCCATATTAGTATGTTTTTACCTTTGTACCATTTTTATATATTTATTTAATTTAACCTGTGTCCTGTTGGTGGACATTTAGACTGTTTCCATTTTTACCATTATAAAAGCATCGTGACTCTAGTAGTTTTAGCTTTTTATTATTGATTTGGCTGTCCAGGGGCTGAAACTCAGGCCCTCATTTATCCCAGGCAAGCATCTAGCCACTGGGCAACATCGTTGGCCCTGTGATAAATATTTTTGTGTCTTGTGAGTTGGTTTCTGTTGGAGCCACTGTAGGCACAGATCGGAGGAGTCCTGGAGTGTGCCAGCCTCAGGTACTCATTAATGCATAAATTTTAACAGAATAGGTGGTGGTTGAGGAAGTCTCTAAGAGTTCAGGCATAATACTAAAAAAATACATATAGTCAGTCAGTGGTGGCACATACCTTTAGTCCCAGCACTCAGAAGGTAGAGACAGGGAGATCTCTTGAGTTCGAGGCCAGCCTGGTCTACAGAGGAAGTAAGTTCCAGGACAGCTAGGACTACACAGAGAAACCCTGTCAATAAACAAACAAACAAATAAATAAATAAAGTATGTACACTGCCAGCTGCTCACTGCTTAGTTGGAAGGAGAAATTGGAAATCAGGATGTTGAGAAAGTCGCTCACCAGGGTTTAACAGCTCCTGTTTTCCCAGTGTGAGAATGTTAGGGCTTGTTTCTGTCCTAGAACAACGTCCCTTGTGTCCCTCCTTCTGAACGGTCTGCAAGGACAAGCTAACATTGCTCAGTGACTCCCCAATGCCCGGCTTGTGGGGCTGCTTAGTGGCAGTGGTCTGGGCCGTGGCACACAGCGGGCACTCTGGCTGTTTCAGGTGGAGCCCTTTCATCAGTCAGAAATTCGTGTTTAGTTCAACCAGACAAGAAAACAGAAGCCAGTGCCTGGGTCTCCAGTCCCTCCAGGAACCCACTGTCTGCTGTAGCAGTTAAGAAGACTACGTGGGATTGCCCTTTGAAGAACCACAAGGAACCAGAACAGAGAATCTACAAGAAGCCTAACCTTGTGGTAAAGCCTTTACAGCTGGTGAGTGAGGATGTAGGACTTCATATAGTAGACCAGATAACTGAATGGATGTTTCTGTAAACCAAAATGCTCTTTAGGGAAACATATTTCTAGGAACATTGTTCCTTGGAAGAGGCCAGTTCTTTGGTCCAGCACCACTTTATGGAGCATTTCCTCTCGTTTTCAGTTTTTCATTTCCCACACACCTAATTGTAAAGTTTTTCAGATGGTTGAGATTTAAATTCTTTCCCTGTGGCACTGTTGATTTCTCTATTCCTGAGCCTCAGGGTGGAGCCTTGTAATCCTTGGGGCTTTAGGAGTCCAGGAGTGCTGCTCTGGACCCGACTCAGCAGTGGCCACAGATGCCTTTGTACCGGTTCTCACCTGGTTCGTTTAATTTTTCTCCTCACTGACATCCTCACACACCTCTTTTGTATTTTCATCTCCTGCTTCTGACTTTGCTGTTACTAAGGAATTAATTCTTTGTCCCCAGTGTAGCTGGCTCTTCAGTGGAGTGAGCAGTCGAGGGCCTGCTGTATTTCCTTCAGGACGATAGGAAGACCTAGAGAAAGAGCATATTTTAGAATGCGTGTGCTTGCAAACGCTTTTGATCCATTCCTTAAAGATAACCGTTGCCTACTGGTGGCCTTAGGTAGGATGGGAACCCACCTTACTCCAGCCTGAATATTTGAGATGTCATGTTGCCCATTTTGTTGAGGACGGTTGCTTAACACTCTAACTTTTTGCTCAGTATTTTTATAATGTAGTACTTGAAGAATGTTGTAAAATGTGTGGCTGTGAGCTCTGTTCTAAAGTGTTCTGAATCACAGTCCTGGCTTGAGACCAAGAATCTGGATTTTTATAATTTCCCAGATGATTGTGGTAAGAATGATACATGAAATAGAGTTTGGGAGATACTGTCACCAGATTTGAAATGTCCCTTACCGGTTTTTATGATTTCTCTCTCTCCCTACCTCCTCCATAGCAAGTAGAAACAAACAAGCCCCAGCTCAGCTTGTCGGTGGCAAACCATGATATCCCACCAGATGCTGTCCGTGCAAAGAAATTGTGCAGACTTCCACCGCTGGACACTAGTACCCTTGTGGGGGTCTTTGTGGAATATATAATCTCTCCTAGCCAGTTCTACATCCGGATCTACAGCAGAGACTCGTCAGAGTTACTTGAAGATATGATGATCGAAATGCGGTAGGAGCCTCATGCTTTGCGTTCCATTTGTCTTTGCTAGTAATTGTCAGACATTTTGTTCTCAGGACTCCTAAAGCAATGAGATGCTTTTGCTTGCTGATGCTCTTATCATATAGAAACTTAAACTGAGAAAATTAAAACATTAGTTAAAAAAGACCCATGTGTGATACTGTAAATAACATTTTATGAAAAAAAACTTTTTCTAATCCAAGCATGTACAATAGCCCTTCATACACATACACAGTGTATATTCCAAATCCCTCTGTGGATGCTGAAACTATGGGTTATACCAAGCTCTCTATATGTATGTCTATACTGTTTTTTCACATACACACTTACCTTTGCTAAAATTAACTTGTAAATTAGATACAGTAAGAGAGTCACAAAACTAACAGTAAAATAGAGCAATGGTAGCCATATTCTGTGGTAGAAGCTGGGCTGATAACTGACGTAGTAGGTAATTCATGTAGCTCAGAGGCACTCCCGAAGGAGTGATTTGTACCCTGGGGTGGAGAGAGGAAGAAGAATAGTTCATCATGCCACTCAGTACAGCGTGCACTTTTGAGTTTATGAATTACTTATTTCTTGAACTTTTCGTTTAATAGTTTTGTGCTGTGGTTGATCAGAGGTAACTGAAACCGTGGCAAGTGAAAACTATGGATAATGGAGGAACTTAAGTCCTCTGGCCTTATAAATACATAACTAATAAATGAATGGTTTTTTTTTTTTTGTTTTTTTGAGACAGGGTTTCTCTGTGTAGCTTTGCGCCTTTCCTGGAGCTCACTTGGTAGCCCAGGCTGGCCTCGAACTCACAGAGATCCGCCTGGCTCTGCCTCCCGAGTGCTGGGATTAAAGGCGTGCGCCACCACCGCCCGGCGGAAAATTGTCTTTTGATAATGTCAAAACTTTACAAATTCTTCATAAAATTAGTTGCAATTTAGAATTTGAACTTTTCATATGCTCTTAATTTAAAATTGATTGGTCTACTTGAGCTCTTTGAAAAGATTCAGAATGAACTATTTAATTACAGGCCCCAGTACCAAATTAAAATACAAGGCCCTTTGTTTAGAAATAAGAATTTCAACATAATAGTTGTGGAGCATTTAAGCAAGCTTGGGGCTCCTCTAAACATGAAAGCAGCCCTGAGTGACTTGTACCTAATTTTATAATGTCATGTTTGGGCCCTTTGTGAAATGCGGCTTTACCAAATGATGCAGCTTGTCCAAATGTAGATGTGTTTCATTCCATGATACTGAAAAGAAAAAAAAACACTTATTGTATAAAACGGTAAGAAACTGAGATCTGCCGACCAGTAAGGGAGTTGTGGGGGTTGATTGAATTCAGTCTCCGTGAAGCAGACTGTCTCTTCATTACCACCGATACAGTCAGAACAGCATTGACTTTCAGAGTTGGTTGCTTGTGGTGGTGAATGGGGCACTTCCAAGTCCTAACTCCTGCTTGAAGGCTTGAATTCTATCATTGACATATACAGTCTTAGTTGTTGTCCTTAAAGTGAAGTTTGGGAGATGTGTTTCAAATGCTCACCTCTGAACTGCAGTGTTAGTGTTAGGGGTCTGGGGTCACTAAGAGATCCGCCACTCTGACCACGAATACATTTTAGCAAAGAGGCTTTATTCAGATACTGGTGCTAGATACTCACGACTCCAGGACTGCGCCCCAGAGCACGGTCAAGATGCATCTCCCAGTTCCATTAGTCAGGAGTTTATAAAGGCAAAACTCACAGGGCTATGGACTTCTGTCTTCATGCAATCAAGGAAAAGAACACATAACTGATGTGCTTCCTGAGTACCTGTAGTCAGACACACAGTCCACCTATGTGCAGTCGGGCACACATTCTTCCTATGTGCAGTCAGGCCAGCAAGCTTGTTTACAGAAGTGAAACACGTGGTTTGTTACCTTGCATGAACAAGATCAGACAGTTACAAGAACAGTCCCAGCATTCCAGGAAGTTATCTGACCTTGGGCAAGCGGAGCTTACAAGTTAGAGGCATTTTTCTTTTATGTTCTCTTCAGCACAGTAATATTAAACTTTAAAACATAACATTAACCATCATATTAATGGTTCTCTAAGTGCAAATGGTATTACATTAACAATTGACTTATTACTATTTTTTATTTTACCTCCCCGCCCCCCACCTCCTGGTGCTAGGATTTAAGGTGTGTGCTACCTTGCTTGGTTATCATTTTTAAAGGTTATTTTATTATGTGTCTGTGTGGGAGTGTGTGCTTGTGTATATAGGGGACAGTGGTGATTGGAAGCTACAAACACCCTGGACCTGTAGATGACAAGTGGTTGTGAGCTGCCTGATGTGTGTGCTGGGCCCAGAACTTGGGTCCTCCGCAAGAGCAGTACACACTCCTAACCACTGTAGGTTAGTTTAAAATACTATATGTGTGCTTCAATTTTTTTTTTGTCACATTTAATTTAGTTGCACTGCCTTGTCAAGTACATTTGAAAAAAAAAAAAAAGACAGTTTCTCTGTGTGTAGCCCTGGCTGGCCTAGAATTCTCTTGTAGACCAGGCTGTCCTCAAACTCAGAGATCTCCCTGCCTCTGCCTTCTGAGTGCTGGGATTAAAGGCGTGTGCCACCATATTTGGTTTTGGCTTCAAGGACATTCTTTAGTGATACTGAATTTGTTGTTGTTGTTGTTTGTTTCTTTTTATGAAATGTAGGACACTGTCGGTCACAAGTGGCAGTGGTTTTGACACTGCCTTGATTCAGCTAAAGCACCCAGTATTTCCCCTGTTGTTTTTATAGCACCAGTGAAAATGTCCAAAGGGCAAGATTTTAGTCATATCATGAAAACAGCTTGATTGTGTGGAGTTACTAGATACCAGGGCCCCAGGGTTTTGTTTGTGACCTGTTCTTTGGTTTTTGTCTACTGTAAACTCTGGTCTTTGTTAATGAAAACTATATAAGATGTGAATAAATTCAGTCACTATAAATTCATGAACAAGAACATCCAAATATGTTGTTTAACATAAATAGTAGTTTATTTTGTATTTACAAAAGCATTCCATGTTTTTATATTTCCATATTATGTATTTATATGACTCCCCAAGTTACCTGACATAAGTCGCATAATAATCTCTTAGAAATACTATCATGGCTTGAATGATAGCTTAGTAAAGTGCTTGCTTTGTGAACACAGAGACCAGAGTTTTGTCTCCAGAACACACGTGAAAATACCAGGCATGTTGGCAAACACCTGTAATCCTTGTATGAGGAAGCAGGGACAGAAGGGTCGCTGGGGCTCACTGGCCAGCTAGTCAAGTGAGCTCTAGGTCAGTCAGAGACCTTGTCTCAAAGGAGGTGGACAGCATTCCTGACAGTGAGACCTGAGGCTATCTGTCCGGCCTCCACATTGCATCTGTCCTGGAACTCTGTGTAGACCAGGCTGTCCTCAAACTCAAGAGTTCTGCCTGCCTCTGCCTCCCGCTGCTGGAATTAAAGGTGTGGCCACCACTGCCCAGCTAGCATTTTTCCCGTTTTGTTTTGTTTTGTTTTTTGAGACAAGGTTTCTCTGTGTAGCTTTGGCTCACGCTGTAGACCCGGCTGGCCTCGAACTCACAGAGATCTGCCTGCCTCTGCCTCCTGAGTGCTGGGATTAAACACGTGTGTCTCCACCACCCAGCTAGCATTTGGGTTCTGGATGTAAAACTTGGGCCTTTGTGCTTGTACAGGCCAGCAGTTTACCAGCCCAGCTATCTCCCCAGCCTGGCCGCCCCTGTTACACTGTAACTGTTCAGTGTCTGGTTCCCGAGGCCCTGGACTACAGGATACATATGTAAGACATGGTCCTTACCTGTGTGAGCACACTAAAGCTGGGCAGACAGTCGAGGGTAAGTGGGGAGAGTGGGAAGCGGCAGTTCTGTCTGGGAAAGCTTCATTGCTGATATTTGAGCGAGGCCTCAAAAGCAAGGTTTTGCTGGTTGTCAACTTCGATCAACCTATGCAGATCTGTCTGAGGCCTGGGATTTAAGGATCTTAAAGAAGGGGGTAAAGAACAGTCTAATGCTGTAGACAGTTTTACTTCATCTTCAGAGTCCTTTTATACATGAATGTTACAAAGAAAGCAACAATTCAAGGTTGTTTGAGTTCAGAAAAGCATGTAAATAAATGCCAGTAAGTGCATCGAAAAAATTAACAGAGCAGCCCTTTCCCAGAACTTCCTCAGGACAGACCAGTTTAAACACAGTTGCCTGGTATGTACTATAGACTGTATCTGGGAAAGCAAGAAAGCAAGACAGGAGCCATGTCCAGATTCAGGTCCACCGAGGACGGCACTCGGCATGTCCTCTCACCAGACTGGGTTCTATAGCTGTGTTCTTACATCCAACAACAATAAACATGTCTTATAAGTTGAGTGTAAATGTTAACACAGGAGGCACAAAGTCACGTCCAAGAACAATGTAGGGAAGTAAAAGGCCCTCTGCCTTTTTCCCTGGAGCCTCCTACAGTTCCCCGCGGCATTGTTCAGCAAGCGTCGTCATTCTTCTGACTGTTCCGACGGAGACGGAGTGGATGTAGTGTGGCACTAGGGTCAGCGTCAATGAGGAGTAGGTGGTGGGCTTTGGGAACAATAAGGAGGCAGAGTTAGCACTAGTAATGTGGGGAGGGCACGGCTGGACACGAAATCGGAGATGTGAGAGCTGAACTGTGAGCCCCACGGGAGGGCGCTCTTACAGACAGAAGCCACTGAAACCTTTCTTCTTAAAGATTGGGGGAGGACCTTCTTGTAGTCAGGACAGGAAGTGTCCCCAAAGGCTCACGGGTCAAAGGCTTGGTTCTCAATGCAGTGTTCAGTGATCAGCCAAGTGACTGGATCATGATGGATCTGACCTCATTAATGGATCAATGCATTGATAGCGCCATAATTTAGAGATCTTGCTGGCAAGTGGTTCAAAATAGGGGGTGAGATTTTGCTAAAGTAAGTAGGTTGCAGGGAACTTGCCTTAGAGGATATAGCTTGTTCCTGATCCGTCTCTCTGCTCTTTGCCCACTGGCTGCCATGAAGTAAAAGTTCTGCTTCACCCATCCTCCCTTCTGTGTTCAGCTTCACCAGAGAAACACCATGACCAAAGTCCCTGAAACTGTCCTCAGTCGTTTCCTCTGGGTATTTTGTCACAGTGGTGAAAACCTGATAGAGACAGCGGATTGTTTTAGAAGGATAACTCCAGTCGTAGTGTAGAAAATGAATGAGGTGAAGCATAGGTCAGTAAATGGACAAACTGGAGAGAACTTAGGAAAGTCAGACTTCAGTTGGTAAGAAAGGGACTAGGAAGAAGAGTGGAGAGAGTGTGAACTACTCTGTGTGAAGGTCATTGGCGCAGAGGTTGAGGAGGTGTAAGCTGGGGTGAGAGAAACTCCACACTCCACTCTGTTGTTGGAGGACCTCTCTCCAGGTTTCACCAAGCC